TCTTCAGAGGGAGTCTGCCATTGCCATCCTCTGAGGCTGAGAGTGTGTGACTTGCCCAAAGTCACCCAGTCTTGGTCTCCAAAGTCATGATCCAATGCTCAAACCACTACATATCATTGGCTCCTCACAAAATAAGAAAACATACACACTAATAAAATAAATACACACACACTTGTTCCTCACCAGATCCCAGAATAGTGTAGGATGCAGCCATGACAGCCAAAGTGGAATCATAGTGCTATAATTATGCAATGTGAAAGAGTCCCTTGTGTCTCCTTTAATCACCATGATCCTCCCCATTTTCTGGTGCAATGAAATCACTCTTTTAAAAGTGTTTCCAGGGTACAAGAGAGGGCATCTGTTGAGGTCTGGGCTGTCTTTCTCTTAATCAGATTAACAGTCTGCTCATAAATCCCCAATGTCTGGGCAGATGGATGCTGGACCATTCCTCTTTATTATTATATTTTTTTGGGGGGGGGGTCTTTTCCGTTGGTGTTGCCAGGAACTCCATTCTCTTTTCCTTCCCTTTCCAGCCCCCACAATTCTGCAAACACAGATGGAAAGCAGGCAGGGCTTATGCGAGAGGAAATTGGCAAAAGGGTCTTAGATCTGGGAGGGTGCGATGGATTGGAGCAATGATGCAATTGAGCAAGAAACCAAGTGGCAACAACATGCGGTGGGGTTTTGCACCCTCCTTTGACTGCCCCAAACCTTGTGTGTGTATAGCGTTTCCAAACTTGTGATTTCATTTTGGATTAAACCAGAAGTTTGTCAGTCAGACTTTGCTCTCTATGTTGTGGGGAGACTTAAGCCCCCTCCTTTCCCCACTCTAGCAATTTCTGCAATTTATTTTGCTTTATTTCATTTGGAAATCTCCCATTTTCTGCCAAATCAATGTGAAACGGACAGTCTAACACAACGGTAACCTTGTGTGGTTACATTGGTTGACTAAGTCTTTATGGTCTTTGTGTTTGATGGCCCACTCCAGTGAAGATGGATGTGAGTGTTGCTATTTCTCATGTGTGCACATGAGACACAGACACAACACAAGCCCTTGGGATGTTGAGTTTCTATTCTGTTCTGTTGGAGAAACAAGAAATGAAATATCCCAAGGCTGCATGGGAGTACTGGAGAACTAGATCCTGTGTAGTGCAGGCCTGCCTTGGCTAACAAAGGGGGGGGG